CTATGGATCCGACGCGACATCTCCATCGCCATGAAGATTCGTGTATTCCGTGCATCCATCCGCTCAGTCCTCCTTTATGGATTTGAATGCTGGGCTGTGTGCGCTGAAGATGAGCGAAGACTGGAGATCTTTGACCACTGATGCCCGAGGACGATCCTGCGAGTTAAGTATAGCGACTTCATCTCGAATGAGACAGTCCCACCCGCTGCGATCGTATCCCGAGGATATCTCAGGCCATTCAAGAAAGGCGACTAAGGTGGTTTGAACACGTTCTCCGTCATCCGCCCCACGGGCTTAGCTATCCTTCCCTCGACCCGGCACCGCAACCCACCTGGAGGCGTCGAAGAGGAGAGCAACTGAAGACTTGACTCGATACCGTCCATCAAGACATGGAAGCAATTTTCGGACCTTCTATGTTCGGTCTCCGTCGCTGGAGAAGAGACTAGATGGAGTTTTTCAGATCGCCTACCGCCAATCGTCACGCGTGGAGAGGTACCGTCTGTGACATCATTGAGGCCGGATAGATCAGGCATAATCACAGTCGTAACAAGTACAAGTAATAAGTACGAGGAAGTAAACAGCTTGAAATACCTGGAGTATAATAAGTATAAGTAAGTACTAGTAGAAGTGAAGAGGCGAGTTCCAGGAAGTAGTCACATAGACGAATATACTAGACTAAGAGCTTTATTAATCTGGCGTTTTGGATTTTCCCTGCGGAAGCCATAATCAGGGGCAGTTGCAGAAAATGGTAATAGGGGCACAAAAGGCGCTGTATTTATAGGGCGTGATGACCAGGCGACCGCATACCTACTATGTTTGGCAGTCCTCGTGTGCATCGCTGGGGATTGTAGGTGATGCAATGATGGCTTGTCGGTCCGTGCCCGAGTCGTTAATCGCCGCAATTTCACCAGCCTTGTCTACTTTTGGCGTGATAATTACTCGACAGTTTGGTCCACGGTCACCCGGACTGCTGGTCGCCCACATACTCCCCCCCGCGCGTGGCTAGTAATTTTTTTCTAGGCAAACTAGCAACACAGAATCCGAAAGAGAAAGAATATTGTGCTTGTTAATTGAATTTGGACTGGAGAAACGTGGCTTAAACAGCTCACTGCTCGCGCAGTTGTCATTTCTGGCGCGAATTTCAGCCTCACCAAACTTGAAGGCCTGGCCGGGTGCCATCGAATGAACCCTGATCTGGGATTTAGTATCATTCCTTCTCGCCACTGCTGCATACTCAGCCACTTCCGTTTGGAATGCTTCCAGTTTCTCTGAAGTCGCGTAGCTTTGTTCTCGTCTGCATCAGATCCGGTAACCGACTCCAGACTTCTCCTGCCGTAACATCTGGCGTCTAGTAGTTGCCTCCGGTCCGTGTGCAGCTCCAAATCTGAGTGGTGTGGGCAGACAACTGACGGTTTCGGAGACGTTCTTCACTCACGGGGACGCTCGCCAAAACATAGGACCGGTTGAAGATTTTCCCTCCTCGCGTTTCCGCATGCAGCGGCTGGCGCAGTTTCGCGTCCAATATATGTTAGTTCAGCAACCTTGTCTTCCGGTTCAATG